TGGCCACAGGCTTAAGAGCTTCGCCCAGCGTCCGGCTGACGGTACGCGTGGTGGCATCCTCCTGCTTTGGGACGATGATGTGGTGCAGCTGTCCAGCATCCAATTCCGGTCCTTCACCCTTTCAGCAACGGTTACTCTGTACCCCCAAAGCCCAGCTCCCACCTCCTTCAAGCTGACCACTGTCTATGGGCCGACCCGAAGTAACCTCAAGGACGCCTTCTTTGCTGAGCTTATCGCCGAAAAACCACCTCTGGGCACCATGTGGTTGGTCACGGGGGACTTCAATCAAATTTACCGGGCGAGAGATAAGAACCGTACAAATGTTGATCGGAGCCGCATTGTCAGATTTTGAAACGCTCTCAACTCCTATGAGCTTAAAGAGATTCATCTCCAGAATAGGAGATTCACTTGGAGTAATAGGCAGAGGGAGCCCACATTGAGCAAGCTCGATAGCTTCTTTTGCAATGAAGATTGGGACTTGGAGTTCGGCTCCCACATACTGCATGCCTTGTCGTCCTCCCTCTCTGACCACTGCCCTCTTCTGCTTGCAAATGCGAATGGGCCAAAGCGCTCTAAATGCTTCCGCTTTGAAAATTTCTGGATCAAGATGCCAGGCTTCTTGACAACTGTCCAAGACGCATGGAATGAAGGACACAACCATGTCGAGCCGTACCATATCCTGCATCACAAACTCAAAAAAACTAGTGTCAGACTGAAGGCATGGAGCAAGTCCCTCTTCTCCAACATGAAGATTCAAGTGCATATGGCCTTGGAGGTCATCCTTCGCCTCGACATCGCGCAAGAGTCAAGGTCTCTGAGCCCGCAGGAGATTAATCTTAGGAAGAGGCTAAAGAGGAGGGTGGTTGGCTTGGCGGTGCTTGAAAAAGCTCGGAAGCGGCAGACCTCTAGAATAACAAGCATTAAAAAGGGGGACGCAAACACTAAATATTTTCACCTCCGAATCAACCGTCGGCGAAGGAAAAATTTCATTCACCGCCTCAAGCACAATGCGGGGTGGGTAACCGACCACAAACAAAAGAAGGATATTATCCACAGTCACTTCTCCTCCGTCATCAAGAAGGGACCCAGAAGGAATAAGGACTTTAATTGGGAGTGTATCCCCACTCCAGATTGTGATCTTAGTGACCTTGGGGCTCCGTTCACCATGGATGAGGCTAGAAAGGCCGTCTTTGATTCGCCATGCGATAAGGCGCCGGGGCCGGATGGGTTCACGGGTGCATTCTTCAAGGCGTGTTGGGATGTTATCAAGGTCGATGTCGTGGCTGCTATCAACCACTTCTCCAATGTTCATGCCAACAATTTACATTGGCTAAATTCAGCCAACATCGCATTAATCCCCAAGAAAGATGGCGCTGAGGATATTTCCGACTTTAGACCGATAAGTCCAATTCATGTCATGGCTAAGCTCTTTGCTAAGATGATGGCAACGCGCCTTTCCATCCACATGAACGACCTCGTGTCGCCGGCTCAAAGTGCTTTTATCAAGAAGCAAAGCATTCACGACAACTTCATCTATGTCCGCAACCTTGCCCGAAGGCTACATCGAAGCAAGACATCTATGTTGCTTTTCAAACTTGATATCAAGAAGGCCTTTGATTCCGTGAGATGGGACTACTTAATGGATCTTCTTCAGCACCTTGGCTTCCCCGCACGCTTCAGGGACTGGGTCTCGGTGCTCCTCACCTCGGCTACCTCGAGAGTGTTGCTCAACGGCACGGTCGGAGACCCTATTAGGCATGGGAAGGGATTGCGGCAAGGAGACCCGATGCATCCACTTCTTTTTGTGCTTGCCATCGATCCCCTGCACCACATTCTCAACAAGGCCACGACCCAAGGCAAACTACATCCCATCAGAAGAAATACTGCAACTCTTCGTGCCTCCCTCTATGCGGATGATGCAGCCGTTTTTGTGAAGCCCACGAAGGAGGACGTATCCTGCTTTGCCTCCATCTTAGGCGACTTTGGTGAGGTCACGGGTCTAGTCACCAATTGCAGCAAGAGTCTGGTGGCTCCAATTGGATGTGCTGGCCTTGACCTTCCTGAAATCCTGCAGCTCTTCCCTCGCCAACCTCACGAGTTTCCCAATGACTTACTTGGGATTGCCACTGTCGGTGAAGAGACTTAAGACAGTTCATTTCTTGCCTCTGGAGGACAAAGTTGCGCGCAGGCTCGCCCCTTGGATTGGCCTCCTCATGGCCGCACTTGGGAGGGTTGTTCTGGTCAAGGCGGTTCTCACCGCCATAGCTATCTACAGCATTACTCCGCTGATCCTGCCAGCGGAGGTGATGAAGCGTATTGATGCCTTACGACGTGCATTCCTTTGGGCCGGTTGCGACAAAGTCACTGGTGGCAAGTGTAAAATCAATTGGGACAGAGTTTGCAGTCCTAAAGCTATGGGTGGCCTGGGCATCCTAAGCCTGGACAAATTTGCCACTGCCCTCCGCTTGAGGTGGCTTTGGAACGAGTGGGCGGAGCAGCCAAAGCCGTGGGTTGGGTTAGGCAACCCTTGCACCGAGGCTGACAGGGTCCTTTTCGCGGCAGCAACGAGGGTCGTGGTTGGAAACGGAGATAAGGCTTCCTTCTGGACGTCCCCCTGGCTTGATGGTCTCAGGCCGATGGACATCACCCCTAAAATCTTTGAGATCTCCAAAAAGAAAGATTCCTCTGTCAGGAAGGCCCTCACTGATGATCTATGGATTTCGCAAGTTGACATGGCAAATGGCATTACCGTCGGGCACATATAGGAGTTTACCATCCTTTGGGAGAAGTTGGACGGGATAATCTTAGATCAAGCCACGAATGACACGATCATTTGAAAACTTACAGAGCGCGGTAGCTACTCCACTTCATCGGCCTATTCGCTACAGTTCGAGGGACGCACCTCCACACCACTTCTAAAGACCGTTTGGAAAGTCTGGGCTACGCCAAAATGCAAGTTCTTTGCTTGGTTGATCATTCACAACAGAGTATGGACGGCAGATAGATTACAACGGAGAGGGTGGCCAAACTGCGGTTTGTGTCCCCTTTGTAGCCAAGTCCAGGAGTCTGCAGCGCATCTCCTCTTCCAATGCCGATTCTCGGTTGTAGTTTGGAATGCGGTTAAGGCGAGGACCAGACTGAGCAATATTGTCACAGCAGACTGGGCGGCTATGCAAAGTGTCAGGCATTGGTGGACTGAGATGGTGCTTACGCGCTCGTCTAACGAAAAAGGGATGGCCTCCCTCCTCATGCTTATCTCTTGGGAACTTTGGAAGGAGAGGAATGCTAGGGTCTTCCGGAACGTCTCCGCGCCTTTGATGATCCTCGTGGAAAAAATCATGGATGAGGCGGCCCTGTGGGCTTTGGCGGGTGCCAAAGGGCTTGATGTAATTTTACACCGTGAGTAGTTGATTTATCTTGGCCATTGTATGGCTGTTGTCCTCGGACCCTGTTACAACTCTCTCTTAATTAACGAAATGGAAAATCTTTTGCCTTGTTTCAAATGATATACGTTCTCCATAGAAAACTAGGCAGGCCAACATAGTACACCCACCAAAACCAAATGTTATACTGATGGAGGAAGCAGCACAAAGAGAATCCAATGTGAATTGATACAGAAAAAAAAAGAGTTCACCCTCATAACTAATTAAAGTTCTAGCAGTGACACACAACATTTGATAAAAAAAAACCTGCAAAAGAAAAATACTTATGCTGACACACTTAACTTTTAGTAAACAGCTTTTAATCCCAACTCGGTAAACTTTACCTTTTAGGTACAAACGGAGATGCAATGTTGAAGTGTAAAGTAGCGTCATGAATGGAATCCCCATTGCAACACACCTCAACATGTCACGTATTGGAAGAAGAATACAATGATGTGAAGTACAAACAACTAAGGGTTGGCAAATCAAACAATACTGTTGATATATACTGTTATCCTGGCAGAAAAGATAGGCCAAATTATGCAACAAAAGCATGCTATATTGGGTGTGCATCAATACAAACAACATGATGTATAATTGAGAAAGCAGCTCAGATAGTACGTGAGATGATGCAAACAAATCTTTCAACCTCAGACTTTCCACTGAGCAGCTCAGTGGAGCTCCTGACATATTTCCTTGTGTGTTACCAAAACAGGGAAATTTCATATGAACACCTGGCATTCCTTGACTCTCCGGACTTCTCTTATTCGAACATGAACAAGTACAACTAGATGAAACAAACATGTTCCACTCAACCGAGGCTTGAACTATGTGGTTTCTTTAACAAACTAGGATATGATAGGAAATAATTCAGAGCTGGGGGATATATATCTCTCGGAATTGATTGACCAACTGGGATGGAAGAATATTGAACACATGAGCAAGCAGGTAAGTGAAGTGTGAAGATTTGATCACCCAACAAATGCAGAGTTTTGCAAGGGAAGTGGCAAAGATCAGCCATGGAATCAACGAGCTTTTTACTTACATGGAATCAAAGAAATTTTGGTTACACATGGAAAACGAGTCACTGACATTTTGACACCATCCTACCAAAGAGTAAGACATGAATAATCGCAGGTAACTGAAAGGAGGAGTGACCGAGGAAGCAAATGCGCAAGCATTGCTCAATTAATTTATTGAACTGGGTGCCAAGTGCAAGCCAGCAATAAAATCAGCATGCTACAAAATTTTGTTCATCTTAACAACTACAGAAAAGGATCTATGAATCCGAAATCTAGAAGGTACATGGTCGGTTTTATCTCTCGTTTCACATCACTTGAGAAATCAAGAAACAAATCTATCGCTAATTAACAGAACTTCCAGTGTTCAAATTCAAGGAAGTATGGCATGCCTGTAATATTATTGTTTCTTGCTGATGTTGGGCTTCACCGAGCAGGAGTTTTCGCCAACTGAGTAGGGAGGCTCTAACCAGTAGAGAACATGATCCTCTCCATGGCGTACTCACAGGTTAGGAGGTCCAAATTTGACTGAATTTACAAAGCTGATAAACAACAGGTGCTATTTCTGAATCTGTTGCCTGGAGACCAAACACATGGCATGGGAAGCGCCTATTGCAACCGAGATGACACGAGGAGGGCTTGGATCCTCATCACAGTCAGCAAGAAAATTAACTTTAACAGGTAATGGTTGCACTTCTGGAAGATCGGGAACGCCTAGCTGGCAGTCTCTTGCATTTCCCCACATGTACAGGTCACCTTTCTCTGGCCACACAAAGAAAGTAAATTCAGGTAAGCTACTCATAGTGTGAAATTTTAGTTGCTTGCATTTAGCTGACATGCAATGTGATGTGCCGAAATACTTGTACAGAAGTAGTAGAACTAGAAGAAGGCAACATAACTAAGCTAGTTAAAACAAGAATGTTCAGAGAGACATCTTATAAAACGAATAAGAGGCTCTTACAGTGGCAATATATCTGGGTTTCGTGTATCAAAATAAATGGACTAACTGAAGTTTAGCTACAACAATGGCATTTCTTCTTCATTACTCGAAATTAATTAAAGTGTGTGCTACAAAACTAGTAAGTAAATCTTAGAAATCCTTTCTTTTCATCAGCAATACATGCAATTAAATTTGTATGCAACGCCTGTTTCTTGCATAATTACAACAGCAACAAAATACTGATTATCTGCCTGACTGGTTAACTTTAAGAATTTTCTCTCTCATATCTCAATTACTCCCTCCGTTCCAAAATAGATGACCCAACTTTATACTAAAATTAGTACAAAGTTGGGTCATCTATTTTGGAACGGAGGGAGTACATGCCAGTCTTATAAACTATACACGAGTCCCCAGTATTTTCTTGGACTTACTAAATTAGTAACACTTTCACTCCCCAAATGGTTTTCAACGTAGACAGTTTTATTCTCAGTTACTCAATGTCATGTGGTGGTGATGCATTTTTAGCATTTCCTATGAATCTTCAGCACAGACAATGTGTGCTACGATTTACTAGTAAAGAAATGGCAAATGGAAGGTAGGTGAGACTAAGAACATGTCAAGAGCTCCCTGCACAGGAACAACCACCATGAATGACTATCTTTAAGATGAAAAAGAGAAACAGCATTCACCTGATATAGCAGCAGAAGTTGATCCCCCACAGGCTATGTAGACAATTCGCTCCTCAGACAGAGCTTTAATGGCAAGTGGAACTCTATGGTTTTGAATGGTTGGATGCCCTAGTTGGCCATGTCCACCATGTCCCCATGAGAGAACTTCACCTTCATCTGAATATAGTTAACAAGGTAAGATATGTCACATACTTGTATGCTGCACCAACCAGTACATTGTTCTGTGCTTGCTATAACAGCAGCCTGAAAGTAATACAACTAAGTATATATCTCTAGGAATACAGTGGCGTTACACTGATTGCTTGCTGTAAGATCCAACAGAATTTGATTCATGATCAAATGTGGTCTTATGATTGAAGATCATTGTTGCAGTCAAAACAAGCAGTAGATGTAATTAACCTACTTGCTGAGACAAAGGCAAATGTATATTCCTTTATTACTCCTGTCTGAATGTTTTATTTTTCAGAACTTAGATTGCAAATTCTATTATTTTTCAAGTAATATGTCATCAAATTTTGATAGGAGATCACAAAAGTTGCCTTCCATTAGTTCAGAGAAAACACCTGAATTTCCAACAAGTAAAACATACCAGTCAAGGCTAAAGAATGGTATCCACCGCATGCTACTTGGATTACATGGACATTTTTCAGGCTAGGGACAATTTGTGGCCTCCAGTCACTGGAATTGCTTCCTCTGCCCAGTTCGAAGTTTGAGTTTGCTGAAGATCATAGACAAGTTGTAGAAACTCAGTAAATCCATATTAGATGAGATGCATTTCAAATTAAATTAGTACATAAGTCCCTTACGACGGAACCTGGAAAGCCAGAATGAAGAGATGTTATCTTTGACATATACTTCCTAAATATAAGACGTTGGGGCAGTTTAATTTAAACTGCCCCAGCGTCTTATATTTAGGAATGGAGGTAGTACTAAGCAAGATCATTGAGATTGAGGAAGCTTAAGAGCATTTCAGAAAACTATCATAACCCATCTAAGTGTAACTTATGCCCAATGGATGAAATAAAAGGTCTGGGCAAGTAGTTGGAGGAAAAATGTTGTGTTGCCACAACATTTCACATTAGCGGGAACCTTGTAAACTCATAATTGCAGCTTAATATGAACTGCATGGTGTTGCATTTCACATTAGCAGCAAGTTAAGTATACAACTTTTTCCCTAGTTTCTGAAGAAGAGCATCAGTGCAGAATAAATTAAATATATGATGTTTACTACTTCCTCCGTTCCATAATGTAGTGCCTATAGATTTTTTGAAAAGTCAAATCTCACAAACTTTGACCAAGTTTGTGAAGAAAAATATTTACATCTAGAGTATGAAACATATATCACTAGATTCATCATAAGATGTAGTTTCACATTATATATTTTTGCTATTGTAGATATAAATATTTTTCTCTACAAACTTGGTCAAAGTTTGCAAAGTTTGACTTTTCAGAAAATCTATAGGCACTACATTACGGAACGGAGGGAGTAGTTAATAAATTAATACACAGTGACATCCTCACCTCCCCAACTCCATAGCTGCCCATCCGAGGTCAGCGCAAGGGTGAAGAAGCCACCACAAGCAACCGCAGCAACTGGAACAGGCAGCACGCTCACCTTGGAAGGAACACTGAGAGAGCCAGCTTCACCTGGACCACCCCCACTTCCAAGCCCCAACCTTCCATCACCTTCATCACGACCCCAAGTGTATAGTTCACCTGTTACAAGCCGTCAAAATGCAAGGATCAGAGTTGCGGGTGTTTTGACAATCACAAGGCCAATATTTCAACATGACAATAACAAAAGTTTTATTTATTTGTGTTCACTTTCTCATACTATTCATTTGCACAAGGCAGCAAGCGATGACAAAAAATAGTGTATTTCTGTATTGAGCTTGGATAAGAAGTTACAAACAACCTGATTCTGTGATCGCCGCAGTATGCGCTCCGCTCGTGGCAATGTGCACAATCTTCCCTTCCCAAGGGCCCTTCACTTTCCTCGGCAACAGCTCTCTATGGTAAACGTAGTGCCCCAGAGCTCCAAATCCACCATAACCCCTGCAGGCTACTAGAGTAAACTGAGTGATGCAGCAGCCAGCCACAACCATCAACCATCAACCAAAATGCAGCACATTATTCTTCTCACGGTTCATCCGGCATCTGATCGTCAGTGAAATTTTCAGAATGAGAGAGCAATGTGGGAGTGCCGTGTCCTCACCAGGTGAGGACGTCGCCGGAGGCGGTGAGGGCGGCGGAGTGGATGCCGCCGAGCGCGAGGACGCGGAGGCCGGCGAGGTTGGGGTTCGCGCGGGGCACGAAGGCGGAGGACTCGTCGCCGAGCCCGAGGCGGCCGCCGTCGCCCTTGCCCCACACCCAGGCGGCGCCGTCCACGAGGAGCGCGGAGTGGAAGAGCCCGCAGGAGATCCCCACCTCCACGCCGCCGGCCGCCTCCGTCCCCGCGGCGGGGGGAAGCCGCCCGGGCGTGGGCGGGAGGACCGGGGACGGGACGGGGAGGAGGAGCCGCGCGACCGGCGCCGGGTAGAGGCGGCGCTCCTCCTTGCCGCCGCCCAGCTGGCCCGACGCGCCGCGGCCCCACGAGAGCAGCGACACGGGGTGGTCGCCGCCCGAGTAGAGCGTCGGCGCGGCGCCGCTCGAGGTCGCCGAGGCGGAGTAGCAGCGCCGGTGGAGAGGCAGCAGGCGGCGCAACATCGCCGGCGGCGGCGGCTGGGTTCGGCTGTCAACCGAGGGAAGGAAGGAAGCAACTAGTAGTAGTAGGAGCACAGAAGCTGGCCCGTTAGCAGTTTCCTGCCCGTTAAGCGCCCAGCCCAACCCAACAACTCTCCGTCCTACCGGCACGGAAGGAGGAGGAGGGGGAGAAAGGAGGCATCTTGGGGGCGGGCGATGGCGAGCAAGGCGACGGCGGCGACGTCGTGGCGGTGGCGGCTGCTGCTGCTGCTGCTGGTGGCGGTGGCGGCGCTGTGCTGGATCCCGCCGGCGATCGCGATGGCGGCGGCGGCGTCGACGGCCAAGAAGGGGGCGCGGAGGTCGCTGCTGGGGTTCGTGGAGGCGCAGGGCAACTCCTCCTACCGGTGCAGCCCCTCCGGCCCCTGCATCCCCTGCCAGTACTCCGAGAAGGTCAGCCCTGCCGCCCCTCCCCTCCCCTCTCCCTCCTTCCAGCCGGTTCTCCACGGGGATTACCCACCCTGACCATATGAAGAGAAAACAAAATGGATCTTGGGAGGATGCAACATGATTGATTATGCTGGGGCTGGATTTGGGGATTGTGTGCTCATTGATTCCGTTGGTTTAGATGTACGTAGATCCTAGCCAGGCGATCCGAGTTATTGGGTTGGGGTGTGTGCTGAGACAAGGTTGGGATCTTGGAACAGAAGAACAGTCGAGCCCTTTTTGCTCTGAAGTTATCAGAAAGGTCACAATTTAGTCCGTTGTGAGCAACGTAGGCATTTTGAGTCAGGATTTACCGTCCGAACCAGAACCTCTAGTGCCCACATCAATTTGTTAGTTTATGTTCCAGTTTGACAGTTTCGCAAACTTGTGGTGTTGTTAGTTTTTTTTTAAAAAGGAAGCAAACTCTGCTGCCTACGAATTATCTGAATCCGTTATACTCTGTGTTCCAGCCATGTTTGGTTGGCATGAAGAGCTTCCAGATAATTATCATAAAGGCTGCATGAGCTAAAATATAGAAGTGTGTTTTGGAGAAGGAGGGCATTTTGTCGGGTCGGGGGGAATGCAGATCTTTTGTGCCATGTTGGGAAAATTCTAGTTTTATGTTTTAAGTTGCCAAAGCGGTTTCTCTGCCTCCCATCTTTATGTTGTGGATCAGCAAATGACCTTGAAGTCTGCTATCTTTGTGCTATACGGAGTAGAAGCCAAAGCTTCCTACTGGAATTGGAAACTGACCCTTCTATAGCTACAAGCAATGGCTCTGTTCCTATCTTCATCTTATACTAGTGTGTGTACTGTCTAGATTCTTAACATTCATAGAATTGTATTTCCATTTGAATTAGCAATTCGTTTCCATAATTGCCCAAATTTATCTGCCTCTGGTCTTTGTTTGACTAAATAATTTGAGACAGAGTACCTGGCTAGTTCATTGGTCTGAATCCTCATTACCAAACTCCTAGTTTCTGTCCACTCAATTGATTGACTCGGATTATGTACCTGAGAAGTGGTCAGACAGTTATATCGAACTTAGCTTCTCTTGGATTTGTAGCTGCTCTCATTATTGAGTTTGATTAATTGTTAGTTTGATGATTGCATAACAGTACCGTTTTCCTGGGCCATGGTTTATTCGGCATAAGGTGAGGTTTCCACTTTCCATGGTGATTGTGTGCTGCTTACTTGGAGATTTTTCTAGAAAATAGCTTCCGCAGTTACAGAGTATTCCATCACCAGCAGACTTGTTGACTATGAGCTGCTGCCCCTTTTGTATTTGCCTGACAAACTTAATGTAATCGAACACTTGATAAATGTCCAGCTTGGGTGCAAAACATTCAGTTACCGCTGTGCAAGTACTACACTATCAAATACTGAAATGACATGTGCTATCTTTGTGCTATAAAAGCCAAAAGTTCCTACTGGGATTGGAAAATGACCATTCTATAGCTAGAAATACTGAATCTGTTCCTTCCATAATCTTATAGTAGTGTGCGGATCGTCTCTAAACATTAATAGTGTATTACGTTTCTATCTATATTAGTGACTCCTTTCTGTAATTTCCCAAAATTGTCAGCCTTTTGTTGTTGTTTGACTGATGACAAGGAATTGGTCTTCCATCTCGAGACAGAGTACATGAAAGAACTATGTTCGCTCATAAATTACGCATTGTCCTTACTCTTTACTTGTCAGAATCCGCACCTCTTAACTCCTTCTAGCATAGTAGTTCTGTCCTCACAATTGATCGACTCCTTATTTGAACATTTCTTGGTCAGACGGTTATATTGAACTTAGCTTTGGACTTGCAGATGCTGGATAATATTCAGTTGAATTAATTGTTAACTTGATGATCACATAACACTGCTGTACCATTTTTCTGGACCATGGTTTATACAGCATCTGATGATCACATAGCTTGACTAGATTTTTTCTAGAAGATAGCTTTTCTGCAATCACAGAGAATTCCGTTACCAATAGCCATGTTGACTATGACCTGCTGCCCCTTTTATATTTGCTTGGCAAACTTAAGTCTGGGTGCAAAACTTCAAATTACCATTTGTGCAAACACTGCACTACCAAATACTTTTTTTTTCGCGAATACGCAAGCTGCGTATCTTTGTATTGATAGGAGAAGAGTACAAGCATGGGATTACATCGCTAACAAGGCCATGTGCGCGGTAGGCATGGTGTACAAGCGAAGGAGCACAACAGATGGGGGTATGCTCAGCCCCGCGATCAGAAACTAGAGACTACGCGCCGGGGATAATGTTTTGCAGTCCGGTGGCGCCCGCCTTGGCCCATAGTCGTGCCTCGTCCTTGATGGTGTCAGAGGTGAAGGTGATCGATGGTGTCGCTCCGTCAAAGATGCAGGATTACGTTGCTTCCAAATCCACCAAGCTGTGAGGATGATGAGGGAGGATATACCCTTGCGCATGGAAGCGGGCGCGATGTCGAGGGAGGATTGCCACCACACTTGGAATGGCGTGTCGGGGGCAGGGAGGCTGATGGGCACACGTGCCCAGCCGAGGGTCTCGTGCCAAATTTGGCGAGAGAAGGAGCAACCGGCAAGAAGGTGGTGCATGGTCTCATCGTCCTGGTCACACAATACGCAAGCGTCGTCGTGGGGCAATCCGCGGCGAGCCAGGCGCTCCGCGGTCCAGCATCGGTTTTGCATGGCCAGCCAAAGGAAGAACTTGACGCGGAGCGGGGCCCAAGGTCGCCAGGTGAGCCGCCAGAAAGGGTCTTCACAAGCGCCGAAGAATAGGGCCTTGTAGCAAGAGCTTGCCGTGTATGTAGCAGATGAGGTCCAACGCCAGCGTAGCGTGTCCGGCTCATTGGAGAGAGTAGTGTGACGCACCAAGCGCCAAAGCTGAATGTACTGCACCATGGCCGCCGGCCCAAGTGCACCGCGGATATCCTGTACCCAAGAGCGCTGGTGTAGACCCTCACGCACGCAGCGTTGCTTCCAAAGGCGCCTTGGGACGAGAGCGAGAACGAGAGGGGCAATCTCGGCCATAGAGCTGCCGGAGATCCAGTGGTCGGTCCAAAATCTGCAAGAGTCTCCCGCTCCAAGCTGCCAGGTCGTGGAGGCCCTGAAAATTGCACTCGCGTCCGCGTCGTGGGGGACGTGAAGGTGGCTCCATGGGCGAGTAGCATCGGTGCGTTGCAACCATAGCCAACGAACACGGAGAGAGATGCCCGTACGCTGTATGTCCCGGATACCGAGACCACCGAGGAAGATAGGCCGGCATACACGCTGCCAGTTGACGAGGCACTGGCCACCGTTGGCCTTATCCGATCCTGCCCATAAGAATCCACGGATGATCCGGTTCACCTTCTTGATGGCGGTGCTGTTGAAGGCGATGGCCATGAGGAAGTGCGTGGGGATGGCACTGAGGACGTGGCGCACAAGGGATAGACGGTCTCCCTTGGATAGCATGGATGCCCGCCATGTGGAGAGCTTGCGCCCAAGCTTGTCGATGATCGATTGCAAGCTCGTCAAAGAGGCCTTGCGGATAGAGAGGGGCAGCCCGAGGTAGGTGATGGGAAAGTGAGTGACGGGGCACTGCATCTCCGCGGCTATAGTGGCCATGTGGTCATCGGTGAAATGGCATGATTATTATATATTGGTTTTAAAGCTTACTAACATGCCATTTTATTTCTTTATTTTTATAGAATGATGAGAAGTACTGTTGCAGTGAAACTGGCTACCGTTTGCCTTTGAAATGTGTACAAGTACAAAATGGTACAAAAGAAGAGAACAAAACAAAGGATAGAAAGATGTTGGCCGAGACATCCACGCCAACTGGCCCAAAACATTATGTTACTTACAGGAGTTGCGTACCGTTGGAGGATGAAGAGAAACTATCTATTCTTGGTTTCGAGGTAATAATATCATTAAAACCTTTTTTTGTTCTTACTAGTATAAAGTTGCATGATGTGTCAGCCTGCCATCAATTTCTAATATCATGTTGCATTTGGTTCTTACTTACAAAAATTGCATGATGTTTTCTTGTTTCCTATACCATAATCTTTGGATAAAAAGTCTTAAACTGTAAAAAATGTTGCAAAGAATCTTTTGTAACCTTCTCTTCAAAAGTGGGGAATTATCTCAGATGTAGGCAAGAGTCGATACATAGATTTTGTTTTCAGTTTGTGGCAATGGGTGTCTGGGCCATGAAATTTGTACTGATATGCAGTGCGAATCCCAATTACTTTTGAAGATTGAAACTTCCAGTTCTCCAGTTAAAACTTGAAGGCTGCTTATCTACCCTTAGGAAATTGAACCATATGTTCTGCTTGTCGAACAAGTTACATGATTGTCACTAATCGACTAGTCACAGTCACATCACATTTGTTGACAACACGATTTCTTCGGAGTTCTTGTTGATTGACGTCTTGACGTTGTCCGAGGCGAGTTTTGCGTCGTTTTTGTCTGTGACTCTGAATCCCAAAGCAATGTCCTTTTCAGGTCCTCATGGCTGGAATGTTGCTTGTAAGTGGGCCGTTCGTGTATTACCGGAAACGGCAAG